GATTTAGAGCTTTCAAATCGAAATTTTCTTTTTCAATACTTTCAAATTTCATTTTTGAAAGCTCTAAATCCTTCTTCAAGATTTCATTTTGATTTTCAAAATTCATTTTCGTTTCTAGAAGAAGTTTGTTTAATTTGACAATTTCTTTTTCAAAGTTTTCAGATTTTATTTTTGAAAGTTCTAACTCCTTTAGGGAATCGATACCCCACACGGGTTCTGGTTATTAAACGCCCAGAAAAACCTTTTCTCTCAAAACCCTCTCTTCTATTTTAAACATCGTTCATCCTCTCTTTCTCTCTAAATCTCCACTTTTGCCAAAATCATCAAATACAATTCGAAATTAGATAGTTCTTCAACTTGTGATCCTGCTAACATCACTAAATCCTTGCAAACAACATCAAATTCTCATAAAATCCAAATTTTCAAGATAATATTTCAAAATCCTCTATTTCATTTATTTTTGAACTTAAGACTAGTTTTGATTAGTTCTAAGATGAACATTATATCGGGCATTGGTTATTTGATGATTTTACAACCAATTTCGTCAAAAACACTCAATTTTTCAAAACTATCATTAAATTAAAAAAAAATTGTTGTTTTAATTGATGTTTTTGATTCAATTATGTTGTTTTCATAAAAACTATATGTATTATGTTTTTCAAACATTATTTTCCAAATAGTTTTTCAAAACATTGCCCTTTAGGATTCGGTTTAGAGAACCTTGAAATATTGAGGACTCATTTGAGTTTTGGGTTTGTTTATATTGCATACATGTGTTTAAATTTGCAGGTTACATATTCTATTCCGATTCTTAAACAATGTCAAATCCTAAACGACCTAGGACATTGTCTAGTCGCTCAAGTCAAAATCGACCTCTTATTCCTCCACCCAATCCAAATAACCCAAATATGACCATTCTGAACTCTTGTTTCAACATACCTGGTTGTGGTCAAGATCTATACCATAGGTACCATACTTGTTTTGATTCATACAAAATCCGGGAAGAGCGTATCCCTTCGATCTAAGCTATGGAAGATATGGACTTTCAATATCTTTCTACTCTTAAATCCTAGAAGTTTGATAAACTCTTTAAACTCAAACCTTTGGGTTATCATCTATTAGTCCGCATTTTTCTATTCCAATGTGATATGTGTCCAAAACGAGCGTTGGTCTGAAACTATAGGAATTCGATCCTATCTTTTAGGACAATTCATTTTTATTGACTCCGGTACAATTGCTACCCATTTTGGACTATATAACTCAGGTTTAATGAAAAAGAGACTGTGGCTTCACCCTATAAGTCTAAGGATAGTGAGAGTACCCTAAGAAGTCATCGTGATAGATTCCTTCATTATATGATCTCTTGGTGGTTTAGACCATCCGGAGGTAGTTATTCCTCCCTTAGAAACATAGATATATGGTGGATATACTGTATCCAACATAAAAAGAAGATTAATCTACCACAGATCATCTTTAGTGAGTTTCCATAAACATTGTTCCTTCCAATAATATAAAAACCGGAAGCACCTGCTCTCCGTCCACGAGTCGGGGGACGATGGTGCTGTGTCGGTGAACGTCTCTGTCGGTGAACGTCTCTGTCGGTGAACGTCTCTGTCGACGTCGTGGAAAGGTCTGCCCTCGTGCATCCTCGGGAAGAAGAAACGGTTTCCTGTTACTGTTGAACCACTCATAATAACCGTCAGCAACCATCAAGAGGTAAAGTAAAATGGGCTCTCTACGGGGAAGGTGCCGATGTCGATCCTCCCACAACACGACCCACTCATGATGCCTCACCAACCAATCTGTATCTGTCTTGCCGTGTCTATCTGTGTTATGCAACTTGTCTATATTGCGAAGTGCTTCCGGAATTGGTTGAAAACAACCAAATTGCTGGAGCACACGATCAGTGGAGTGCCACTCGACAGTCGCATAACAGATCAAAGGGATCATCGCCATCCAAACATCTGATAGGCACCTCAACTCAGATGAGATCACCGTCCTCACATCATCAGTAGAATATGTCACTCATTCAAACTAAAACAAATATATATATAATTTTTATCAAAAATAATAATATAATTATATAACTATAATCTAAAATCGATTTTTAAACATTAAAATTCATACCTGTGTTCCAGCCTTCTGATCGATTAACACCCTGATTTTTTCTAAATCATCAGGTAGCTCCTGATGATTTTTCCTATCAGTAGACCACCTATTCAAGGAAAAAAATTATTATATGCTGTATCAAATGATTAATATACGAAATCAGTTTTATAATTACCTCAATAGTAGTGGAAATACGAATGTGTTCTTGACAACGGGACATAAAAAGGGTAATTGATACCATGCCCAAGACTGCAGCAGCAAGAGACATTCGCCGATAGCATTTCTCCTGTAGTCAATGGCTCGACACATCTCCTTATACAAGAAAGCCAAAACTGCCGAGCCCCAACTGAGTGATCCAGCCAGATAAAAGTCGCTAAGATGTCGCAACCACATGCAGTGAACTTGGTTGCGCGATTTGTTCGGCATCATCAACCCTCCTATCAGCTGCAGTATGCATGCTCGTGCATACATTTTAACTTCATCATCAGAGGCGTCCTCGCTCAACTCCCGAAAATTGGCATCTAACCAATTTAACGGTATCCGACCACCGTTAAAATTTTTCGGGACGCGTCCTAGATTTTCCCGGCACAAAGTAGTCCAGGAACCCTGTGCGATCCCTGATATCACATCTCCATCCACCGAAAGCCCCAGGTGTATATCAACATCCTCAAGTGTAATCGTGCACTCTCCTCACGGAAGATGAAATGTGTGGGTCTCCGACCTCCACCGCTCTACTAAGGCAGAAATAAGGTCTGATTCTATCTTACAGTGACCCTGATATCTACTATGTAACCGAATCCAGCGTCTACTAAATACGGCAAGACACGGCTAGATATCACTAACATAAGGTTCCTAATAAAATAATCTAATACACGGTCATTCTCCTAAAATTAAATAATTACAAAAATTAATTCTTAATTTAATAATTATGCATTAAATAAATCACAAAATTATTACTAATAATTTAAATTAAATTAAAACGTTAAAATGTTATCGTATTAGCAAAGTGTCGAGATTTATGATTTTCATCAAAGCAAAGTAGACTGCCTTCCATTGTATATCTGCAAAAAAATTATATAAGTAAAATATTAAATAAATTAAATACTTAAATAAATTAAATACAAAATATTAAAAATAAAATATACCTTAAACAGAGAATATAAGAGTATTTGAGAGAAGTTGAGAGAATTTGGTGTGATGAAAGTGATTGAGGATGGGGTATTTATAGGGAGGGATTGAGGTGTGAAGCGTCGGGGTAGGTGGGTAATTAAACCTAAGCGCCCTTCCTTACGCGTGACAGATTCACAGGTAAGGCGCGGCCTCTGCCCCGTGCTATACCCTACGTGGCCTAAGGTGTGTCCCAGGGGCCGCGCTATACACACGTGTATCCCATGTCAGCATAAGGCGCGCCTCACGGGACGCGCCTTACCCCACGTTGCGTCAAATCAACGTTAAACGCGCTGTAGGAGGTACGCCTTTCTGCAAAGGGTGTTAGATCAGAAAATATAGTCTGAACGGTGCCTGATCGAGAATATTAAATGGAAAAGGTGATTTTATGAGAATAACACCTATTTACTCAAGCATTTAAATTTTATTACGAAGGTAAACTAATAAATAGATTTACATTTATAAGATTTAGTATAAATTTTATTTTTTACACAAATTAAATTTTAAAAAATGCTTTATATGAATTGAATATTAAAAAACTATCATTTAATATATCAACTTCATAAACGTATTTTAATTTTATAAGGTCAAAGAATTATTATATATCTTATTTATTTATTTATTATTTTTAAATATCAATTAAGGACGTAACAATATTTTAATCTCACCTTTAGAGTTAAAAAAATTACTCATTTTCTTTTTCATCTATTAATATTAAATATATATATAATTATCATTCATAAAATGTTCACAATAATAGATTAAATTTTAACTTTAAAAATCATTACAATATACCAAATGATTATTTATACATTAATATCTAGATATTAGGCATAACACAAATATAATATGAATACATTATCTCCAAATCTATGCAATATATAACTTATTAACCTCTCAAAATTGATATAAATACTTTGTATTTATATTGCTCCAATACCACACAACTAAGTGTTGTATTTGTTCAATATATCAAGGGAAATAAAGAAAGATTATGATAAGTGTTGCTCTTAGGGTTACCTATATTATTGATCATTTATGTTTGAGTTTTTGTCCATTTCAAAGAATATAATATATGATCACTTTTATTTTTATTAATTAAGATATGGTCACTTTCGTTTTTATTTAATTAAGATATTGTCACCATGAGTTAATTGTCGTTAACAATTAACAGATTAGGTGACGAGGTAGTTAAATATTTTGGTATAATCATATATTTGGTCCATATTATTTACATATTCTTTCAATTTAATCATACTTTTAATAAATTAAAATAAAATTTAATCCTACTTATTTTAATCATAAACTTTAGGTATGATTTTGAATTTTTTTTGAAAGTTTAAGTATTAAAAAAGACCAAAACTGATAGTTTAAGTACTAAACACATTAAGTTTTTTAACAGTGAGATATTAAAATGAAACAATAACTAAACGTTAAGTATGATTTTTAAAAAATTGAAAGTTTATGTACTAAACGAACCAAAACTGATAGTTTATGCATTAAATGCATAATTTTCCCTTTTGATTTTAGGGGTTAAATCCCTAAACTGAGTTAGGGCATGCTTTATCGAATGAATTTCTGAAAATTCTCTGCTTCCTCAATTTATGCGTTCTGCCTTCTTCAATTTCTTTTTCTTTTTTTTTTCTTTTTTCTTTTAGTCATTATCAGTATTTAACTTAATGAACAACAAAAGAACAGACAGCAGAGAACAAAATTCTGGAATAGAGTACGATACATATCCAATAACATGATAATCGTAAAATGCATTTCCTGGTGTATGGCATGGTCCCTTCAGGGAAACAACTGTGGCAGTTTCATGATCTAACTTCATCAAGAATTAAAGAGAATTTCAGGAAATGTTCTCCTTACATGGTTTATGAGATGCACGATAACCCTGTGCAGCTTTGACACCTATGAATGTAGATCTCGGATGGTTGGACCAGCTGCCTTCTATGGTTCAGATATGTGTATACAAGCTCATTGGTGTACAAAAGAATGCTTCGCAATTCGAAGTATTGATAAATTTCTATCGAGATATTAGGAGGCCTATGTAAGCTATATGATTCAGAGAACTCGTTGCTTGTAGCCATGATTGTGTCTTTCCCCTAGCTCTTTTAACTTCCGGTGACGGAATATCGCTTGGATAGTTCTCTGTTGAACCAAGTGGTAGGAAGGGCATCACCATGTGAAACGAGATAAACAATGAATGCTATATATGCAGCTGTCCATATACAGATCGTTAGTCCAAACAACAGTCCCTTGACTTCGGAAACAAAGAAATCAAACAAAAGATAGCCATTGATTATCATTACGAGCGCAGCCACTGTCCAGGCCATTCTCTGCAAAATAACACAACCTAAACCATCAAATTTAGCTATGTTTTAACTTGATACATGAAGCATTTGTTGGATCTATTAATTCACTCGAGTATCATCAATCACATCAGTCCAAGCAAAAGCAAAAGAACTGCATACACCACAAACAAACTCAAAGTTTCCATTTTCATTTTCCGAAACATGGAAATTGGAAAGATTACTAAGATTTTTTTACGAATTCCGCATGAAGTTGAAAGATTCACTTTGAACCTTTGATTTGAGAGTTCTTTGGAAATCTCTCCAGAACAAATTGCTGTTGTTGTCTCCTACATAAAACTACTAAACTTAGACACACAATTCTCATAATTATGGTACTAAAATGTACTTTGTAGACTAACATCTAAATGGAAAAACCAAAGGATAGCGAGCATGACTTCATAAGGTAAGATGGGATTACCCTCCAACAAATGTCAAGAATACCAGGAAAGCAAGCATACCACAAATCAGCCAGCATTATTGCTTTTCACTGCATAGGGCTAGAGAGTAACAATGATGACAAAATGAGGGGAATGACCCTATAGATCAGTAAATGCATATGCAATATCAGTAAAAGGAAATATATGGGTCCTTTGGTTGCAAGTTTTGCATTACTTGTATCAAAACTTGATAAACTTTTTGGCTCCAGGGTAGAAAACCAATTCAGGTTATTACTGTGTGTTTAAATGACAAACAACTAGGCACAGAAGTGAAGCAAGCTGCTACAGAGATAGCAATAGAAACTTGTGGTAGTTGCCCAAGTTTGTTATCGTGTTCTAATTGCAATCAAAATGTTTTAAACAACAGAAACATTTATACTAAACTTCTGATAAATATAAGATGATTCGGTGTTGATTTCAAACACGGTAACTGCAGATACTCTAGTTATTATAACTAGCAGGGTGAACTAAACTACTGACAATAGACGTTATTGTGAACATAAAGTACAGATGAAACAGAAGATGAGTGACACAGAAAGCTTACCTCAAGAATAGGGCCAATCCTAAAGACCCCCATGACCTGCTCCTTGGAGACCAAGGTAAGAAGTGGTATGAGTGCAAAAGGAATCTGTATTGACTGAAGTACATTAAGCCATTCATTCAAGATATCCAATGAGGCTTCAGATGTATTAAAGACAATAGCTACAATAATAGTTGGCACAATTGCAAAGCTTCGTGTAATCAATGCCCTAGACCACTTCTTCATACGAAGATTGAGAAAACCTCCCATTATAAACTGGCCAGCATACGTCCCAGTTATTGTACTACTTTGTCCAGCTGCTAGCAATCCAATACCCCATATGTATAGAATCGGAAACAGTCCTCCACCATACTTCTCCTCAAGATATTGCCCTGCATTAACTAGTCCTATGCTATCCGCTTGTTTTGTACCATAGAATCCCTTGGCAAAGACTGTTGTCACAAATAAATTGATCATGAAGGTAACCAGAAGAGCAACAGATGATTCAATTGAGTAGTAGTTTAGTGCCTCTTGAACTTGGCCTCTCTTCTTCGGATCAATCTTTCTTGATTGTACCAATGCAGAATGCAAGAAAACGTTATGAGGCATTATAACACAACCCACAACCCCCACAGCCTGCCGAATCGTTTTTGAGCTAAGTTTGGGTACCAAAATGCCTAAAACAATGGAAAACATGAAATGGTACTCAAAAATAAAATATTAACTTCGTACAAAATGATTATTTTATTAAATTGTAAAAAACAAACCTATTAGTAGTTCTTTTCCATTAGGTTTTGTATCACCAAACATTCCAGCAAACGCTACAGCCATAGTTGCAATTAAAACAGCAAAAACAGCTTCTAGTTTCCTGACTCCATAATTCTCCAGGAATAGAAAGATAAAACTGTAAACAGAGAGCGGGTGAAACACTTGTTAGAGGTGAAAAAATAAATAAAGTTAAATAGAATCTGACTTGATAATACGCAGTTAGCTACCAGAAAATCTACAAAGGCTCAAACTTTAAATTCAAACAAATCTAAAATTATACCACCCGATCTAAAGAACATAATATTTGAAACGTGGAAATCAATTAAGAATTCAAGGAAAAGGAAGAAGAAACTCGAAAAAAATAAGGAAATTTACCAATCCGATGCGGTAATTAAGACACCAGCCCATAGCGGTAAAAATCCATTACTCAAAATTTGGATAGCTATAGCACTCCCGATAACTTCTTGAATGTCGGCTCCAATAAGCGCCAGTTCGGCCATGAACCAAAGGACATATCGAGCCCAAGTTGGGTACTCCTCCCGGCAGAGTTCCGCAAGATGCCTGCCAGTAGCCACCCCGAGCCGAGCCGATAACAATTGGATCAGAAGACCCATGACGGTGGCCCACATCAACAACCAAAGCAGAGAGTAACCCGCAATTGCACCAGCCTGTAGATCACCTTCCAAATTCCCCGGATCTAAAAACGCTATACTCATTAAAAAACCCGGTCCCGTAAACAACCATAGCTTCTTCCAAGAAAAGGGAGGGACGTAGTCAACATTTCCCATGGATTCCGGCGGTTCCACGTCGACGATGACGACTTTCTCTCGAGATTCGTATGCGACCTCGTTTTCATCATCGGACGAGGAGGAGGAAGGAGACTGAGATGATAAGAGGCGTTTGGATTCGGATTCCTCCGTCGTGTCTGTGTGTTTGCTCGGTTCTTCTCTCGGTGACTCCTCCTCACGGGTTTGAGAATCCATTGTCGGAGGAGTATTATGTTTGCGTGTCTAGATGCCGTTGATACGGCTCCGTTCAGGTGCGGGAGGATAGTTCTCCCGTCGTGTGTTGTCTATTGTTGAAACTTATGTCGGATTAAATTAATTTCAATTTTCTCGTTATCGTCATTTTGGGAAAAGAACGCCAAATTTGGTATATAAAAAAAATTTTTGGGCTAATTTGAGATAATTACATATAATATTCTTAAACTATGATCTCTATTTTACGGTAGTCCCTAAACTTTAAGACATTCTATTAATTCCTAGACTATCATCTTATTATAAATAAGTTTTTAAACTTTAAAATATTTTATATTAATAAAAAAAATTTTAACTCATATGTCATATAATTATTTATTGTGAATCCTCATGTTAGTACCGTAAATTATCACGTTTGTATTGTAATGATCAACAATAGAAATTATTGATTAAATGATCATATTAAATTATTTTTCTGAGTTTGAGTACCACATTAAATATAAAAGTAGCATGATAATTATACCAAATTTTTTAAAAAATAAAAGTTTGAGGCCCTTAGAACATACCATTAAGTTAAAAAAATCTGACATCCAATAGCAATAATTCTAGCTTCTTGTTCGAAAGGGACAAAGTCAGGATTTCAACTTGAAAGGGAAAATATAACTTATTTTAAAATTTGGGAGGGTAATTTCATAATTATCACATAAATATTTAAATTAAATATATACATTAAAAGGTAAAAAAATAAATTTTTAACTGGGTGAGTTAGGGAGGGCACACCCCCACCCAAGCACTTAGTGGCTCCCTCCCTACTTGTTCGGCTGTAAATCCTGATCTCAGTATCACTTAACCTACTAAACCTAGTTATAACTTTTAAAGACCAAGACAATACGATTTATTATATAGATAAAATACTTATACAAAAGCTGATCAAACTGGTCTGGGTGGTGTAGTTGGTTATCACGCTAGTCTCACACACTAGAGGTCCCCGGTTCGAACCCGGGCTCAGACAAAAAATTTGAATAGTTTTTGGCGCCGCAATTCCATGTTGGAACCACTCATGTCAATCGGTGTAGTTGATCATTAATTAAAATGTAGATCTCACTAAAGAAAGTTGGGAAGCCCATTTCAATTCAACCCTTTTTAACGCTATTTATTTGCTTTCGTTTTTCATTCGATTGAAAAAAACGTCCCCTCCCAAACTTGAAATCCCCAATTTACTCTCCGGTCACTGCCCTCGGTCTCTAAGCAAAAGAAATGGCCGAAACTGAATCCACCACCACGCAAGACTCAACTGCCGCCGTAGAGACGGAGCCTCACCTGACCCAGCCTCAAGAGCAAGTAGAAGACACCGCCGCCAAGCTCAATAACCTTACGCTCCGAATTTGGCCTCTCTCTCAACGAACCCGCGATGCCGTTATCAACCGCCTAGCCGAGACGCTGTCTTCCCAATCTGTACTTTCCAAACGTTACGGCACGATCCCTGAGGACGAGGCTTCCTCCGTGGCCAAGTCGATCGAGGAGGAGGCTTTCTCAGTTGCCGGAGCAGATTTCTCCCCCGACAGTGATGGCATTGAGATCCTTCAGATGTATTCCAAGGAGATCAGCAAGCGTATGCTCGACACTGTCAAATCTCGAGCAGCAACCGCCGCCTCGGATGCGCCGCCAGGTACGGAAGCTCCGAGTGGTGAGCAGATTTCATCGTTGTCCGTTAAGGAAGAGGCTTGAGTTTGAGGATCCTTGTTTCTCTATTTAGGGCTCTTTTTTGGATTTATAATTGGTATTGCTAGGGTTTGTTGTTGTGATCTTTTTGCTAGGCTATGGATATTTCGATATGCTTAGCCTTAATTGCTATAAGACGATAATAATATATTTAAATGTAATACCCCCTCCCGGTTTTTTAGGGTTTTCTGTATTTGTGAAAATGTGCTTGATCTTTATGAGTTGCTTGGTTTTTGTTGATCTATTCATTGCGGCAGTGCAAAATGCAGCATAGAGGGTTCTAGAATTTTCTTCATTAATTATTTTTTTCCTACCAACTCAACACTCAACAACATTCTGTCGTTCCTTAATATCCATAGTGTTCCTCCACGATCTGTTTCAGCAAACGAAGTTGTTAGCTTCACAGGAATTAGGCAATGCTGTTTATAATTGTTCATCTCTTGAAAGCTAAACAATGGAAACCAGAGCTATAAAGTTGAAACTTGAGTCTTGTAATAGTTGATGTGTAGAAAGAGTAAAATGCACGACAGGTTTCTAAATGTTATATTTGGTCTTAAATCTTAATATTTCTATATGTTAGGAAAGATTCTTAGGTACTGAGGTTTCTGCTGTGACTTAGAAACTGTATTCTTATGAACTTGTATGTATAGCATCTCGGTCATCTAAGCAAACAAGTGATATGAATTGAATATAGACACATGTTTATACGAACTGTTATCATGTGCTTGTGTCAAAATAACATAGGGCGTTTTAGAATTTAGACACTTTACATTATGTTTCCTTGAGTGACTTGAATACCCTTTTCGTTTTATGAATGGTGAATCTTTTTTTCTTGCTGCATTTCAATGCTGAGTTGCATCGTACTCCTTTTCGTATTGTTGCTACCAGATATCAAACTGCATTTTTTTGCATTTATTATAGATGTTATCAATGTAACATGTGTAAGATCATGTTGTCATCACAATGCATTCAAGTGGCTGCCGGCGTTTTTGATCTGGTACTTGCAGCTAACATCTTGGCTGAAGGAATATTGTATTACTTTGTTAATGCCATAAAGCCCCAATTTCTCTTCTAATTTCTATAGTTTAGGTGGATGGCAGTCTGAATTGTGCATTTTTTGTAGGTAAATTAGAAAATCAATATTTACATTGTTTAGATCATGCTTCCCTCCTAGGTGGAGTTTTCTTCACATTTGATACAGAACATATTACTATATAAACAGAGATTTAGCAATTGAGAAATCTCATAAGTCCCTGCTCTCGTGAAGTGTATATTTACACTTGTATTCTTTCAGTTTGCATTTGCATATATGAAGTGTTGTAGGAAAGAAGGAAAAGTATGTGATTCCTTTCAACAATGAATATGGGCAAGTCATACACATTTGCTCAGAGTTTCCTTAGCCAAGTGACAATGTACACGCACGGACCTTGCATACACATCTGCTCGAACCTAAAACCTCTAGGAGAAACATGTGCAAGCTACATGCTTGCTTATGAATTGAGCATACTTAATAGATGTCATAATTTTGCTGCAGTGTAATTTAATCTGCATTATGTATAGTGTTGACCACAATCTCAACACCAATAGGACTGACCGTCTCCAATCCGCACAGATCAGACCCATATATATTGAACTCGAGTATGGTTCTTAGAAAATGAAGTGGCATTTAATTTATTATTTTACAGTATATTTACATTTCTAACGAAAATAACAGCCAATTATACTTGGGAAAAGTCGAAGACAACCGTGTTTCTAGTTGCTCGTCTGCTTAGTTTTACAGTTTAGGGTTCAGTTGAAAGACTGTTGTATTGGCAGCCAGAACTGGGCAGAGCGAAAGTGAATCTGTCCGTTGCTTTCGGACATTTTCTTTTTAATCAAGAGATCTCTTAGAAATAATTAAGTGTTCAAATATAAATATAAAAGCAACATTTTCAGACATTTCGACCCTTCTTTTGTTTGTTTTCTACGATCCTTTTGTTAATGTTTTTGGATTTGAGAAACTTGTTGGATATATCTACCAATAAATGTAACACCCTTAACCCGTATATGTCTCGTTATACGAGTTAATGATGTCACATCAACTTGAAAATATTTATTGAACTGAAATTTCCCAAAAAATTTATTTCCTTTGAAAACACTCTTATTTTAACTTTAAAAATATGTTTTAAAGTATATCTCAACTATAATTTATTTCTTTGTCATAGGAAAATAAATTAATGTTCTTAATTAGTAATTTTATTAAACCATGTTTCTTTTCATGAAATCTTTTTAAAAAAACGTAATAACATAATATATTCTTTTCATGCATAAATACGGGTAAAACTAAACTAAGTAAAATAAACTAAAATAGTTCTAGTTTACTATTACAGATTATTTAACATAACTACGATAAATAAAAATTACTGACATAATTATACATGTCATTATAAGTCAAAAGAAACATCATAGATGTCTTACTGATACTTATGATATGTATGCCTTTCCAAAAAGATGCTCCAATAGCTCCTTCCTAATCGTACTTATCCTTATTAGAACCTACACATGAAAATCATCACGCGTTAAGTATAACTTAGTGAGGCAGTAATAATCTAAGGTGAGAAAAATCTAAAAATATCATAAACATAAATAAAATAATACAACTTAAAACATTAAACTTGCAAACCAACTTAACCAAGTCGATTTCTTCACTGAGACCTGAAATTTCGTTTTAAATCATGAACTCATGAAAATTCTAATAAATTATATATGATAAAATAAGCATATCATGCTTTCTGTCAATTGGAAATCATTCACCACTTGCATATTCATTTTCATAGCCCAATGCATATTTATGAGAACATAAGATACGTGAGTAAGGTGCGCACTATGCACAACACAGTGCAAATCGTAACTGATACTGAGATATGATGCACTTCAGTGCCATCATAACTTGAATGAGCACCAACGGTGCTGGACATTGATACACGAATGTACCAAAACTAATATGATAACATTGATACACGAATGTTCCAAAGCTGATAATGGATAAATACTCAACTAATGGCATGCCAAGTGTACCAATAATTCTCATTATACATATAATGGGCTCATGTGTCATAATTAAATCCATAATCAAAATATCATGCTTGGAAAGTTCATACCCTAAATTATTCATAAAACTGATATAAAATATTATAAAAATATTCTTTATAAACTTTATAAATCATACTATAAATCGGAATAAAGTTGACTTATCGCAAGTCGTCTTCGATCAAAATAATTAAATAAATAACTGCACTCACCTTTGCCTCACTATAGATTCCTTTAAACGATATTTCTAATCATGTGCTTTTTCTTTTCCTTTCGAATTGTCCCGATTGCTAGATTTGTCGTGGTCTGACATTACCAAATAATAACACAAAGTGTTCGAACTACATATTAGAATCGTACTAATATAAAATGAGTTTAATATTAGAAAATCTACAAAATAAAAATCGTTATCAAACTAAATCATATTTCTATTATAATTTCCAACTTTTGAAATACTCTTTCAAATCTATGAATATTATTTTCATCTTTAACCCTTCATCTTTTCTAAATTACACAAATAAGCCACAAATTATGAATTCTTTTTTTTAGAATTCACCTCAAGCTTTCCATTTAATTCATAATGGTCCTTCACCATTATGCCCATTGTACATTAAATATAAAAATTCCAGCCCTTTAATAAAATGTTCAAATCAATACCTCAACCTTTCAAACATTACTCTTCATCTTCTAATCCATTTCAACTTAAATTCTAAAATTTCCATATTCAGACAACTTGCACTACCTTTAAAGAATCAATATTATGTATTGATATACACACTGAATTTAATTCCATTTCTTTAGTTGAAAACTAGACTCGAATGGGAATCTATCCATATAAAGAACTCCTTCCAATTCATTATGTACAATTTATGGTGAATTTTCAAAGTTGAACCACAAAATCTATTTTGTGCAGAATTTATTGCCCGTTTTTCTGACCTTTCATCGGTTAAAAATTCATATCGTTTTTTTATACACCTTTACATTGATCCCTGTTTGTTTTAAACAAACCTATATTGATATAAGAACATAATATATAAAAATAACCTCTAAATAATTTTTATAGAATTTCTGATGAATTTTCAAACTCACTGCCATATTTATTTCATATAACTGAATACGGAAATTTTTGTTCATTTTCAAGCATGAATTCAACCTCCTATGATTAAATTCATGCATTTCCAATCATAAAAACATCAAATTGAATCAAAAATATCATCATTCTCATAATCCCTAACATGGCCAAACCTTATTTTTGCATGTACAATTAATTTTAACTATCATACATGCTTTAGAAATAATCACTAACATCAAAAACATAAAAATCCTTCATCAATTCTTCAAGATCACTAAACCTCCTTAAACCTTAATCATGAAATCTCATCACATAATCATATTCACCATGAAATATTGATACCAAATGATAGAGAATTTCATGTAGATTAATTCTCTATCTAATAGCTAAATCCAAAAAATCAAGTAAATTGCTCCAAAAATCAAAATAAAAATATTACCTTGAAGAACTTAGAGTTTTCAGCATCCTGCTGGAGGAGAGAAGAGTTCACTAAAATTCTCAAAAAAAATTCTCCTACTTTAACCTTTAAAAATCAATTAAAAACTAATTTTTTATTCATTTTGGGCCAAAATACTAAATTACCATTAATAAATTTCCGAAATTACCTCCATGCCACTCTTTCATCTCTATTTTATTATTATTAAAATAGCTGTAAAATTCTCATCTCTTAATTTTTTTTGACCCTTCAATTTTCTAAAATTTCATTTTAGTCACTATGTTCTGAAAAATCTGAAAAATTGCACTGTTTTGAGCCAAATTTCTCTGATATGAAATATGAAAATAATATTTCCTACCATTTTATAACATCCTTCAAATTTTTGTAAAATTCTGATTCGATCCGATTTCAATACCGAACTTTACTACTTTATAACTTTCAACACAATTCCCGTACCAAAAATCTGATTCCCACTAAAATCTATGTTTTACTCCAAACTATTCATTTACAGACTAAAATTTATAATTTTAATATATAACTTTTAAAAATTATAAATTTCAGTCCCTACACTTTTAAAAGTTTATACTTTAACCCTAAACTTTCAAAACTTATATTTTAGTCACTGGTCTAAATAGATGAGAAAACTTTTTCTTCATATATTCTTCTCGTTCCCAAGTTGATTTCTCAACTTTATGATTCCGCCAAAGAACTTTTACCAAT